GGCATCTTAAAGAAACAGCACACTTAATGGTTAATGAGCATGCATCTGAAATGAAATGGGAGTCACTGAGGTTGCTGGGAACACACAAGCACACCCAAGACCTCTTCCAAGCAAGGAGTTCCGCTTGCTCCTTTTTCAAATGAAACCACATCACTGGTGACCAAAACCAGTGAGGTGGGCATACATGGTTCACCAGCACTCTCAATGTGTCTTCTCACAGACATGAAGAGCACAAACAGAAAAAATAATATTGAAGCTTAATTTCTAATAAATGGGAGACAGAACAGCAAACGCTGAAAGACCAATACAGGCAAATATAATGTACTGCTTAAGAAGACCTCAATGTTCTTTCTGAAATGTGTGAAATTATAGATTTTGGAGCTCCTGGAGAATATTTATATTTTTAGGGGAATTCTAAGATTGATGCTATATAAGTAGCCCTCAGCATGCATACCTCATGCAGAGGCTCAGTAGAATAGTCAGGCGGGCCCATGGGGACACGGTGTGTGTACTCTCAGAGGACACAAGGGTACAGACACCTCTGGACTTTTCCTGACCTTGCTCTTAGGAGTGACTGTGGCTCTTGGGGAACCAGAAGCCATATAGAAATATGGACACTTCTTTCCTGTCAGTAAAGAAACAGTAAATGTCTACCAAGGGCAGTTCTTCTATAGCTTACCTATTGATACTATGTAAAATCCAGCTGCGTGTATGCCATAAAATTAATTTTTGTATTTATAGGCTGAATAAAGATGAAGGTTCTTTAACCAAAAAGAGTTCTGGAAATAATTTCTGATTTATTTTCCAGGCTCAGAAAAGTCACACAACCCGGAAGTGCCCTCCTTTTGGTCTTTAGTGATTCATGTTTTTTAATGCAATGAGTTGTTTTTCTCTAATACAAAGGTCAAATGTTCTAAACATTCACTGTTTTCCTATGTAAATTTCTGGAAAATGGAATCCCCAAACGTCTGTGTTTCCGAAACAACTTTTAATAGCCTGAAATAAAAACCTGATTTGTGGAATGATCTTTGAGATAGTTTTTTTTTCCATTCTGGAAACAGTGGAGGACAGCTTTTGAAAAAGCATGATGCTATTTTACAAGGAAATTATACCAAAGAGGGACTTTTATCAAATGAAATGACTTTATAATAACACATGAAATATTTAGCAATGAGTGGTACTACACTCAGTGAAACATTCCAGAGCTATAATGAAGGAAATGATTTATGGCAGTAAATGAGAGACAGAACAGAACGCTGGACAGAGCCCTTGTCCTTAAAGCAACACAATCAATGATGTGGCAGACAAAAGAGAGGAATTATTATTATTACTATTATTATTTTTTACACATGTGAACTTGTTTGACAGAAAACAGAGAAAGAAGACTCATATTAGTTTACCGTAAATAGGAGCTGGAGTTGGAGTAGGAGCTAGAAAGGACATTAATATAAAGGATTTTAATCAAAATTAGTCATGGAAAGATATAAGATAGCACAAGAAGACAAAGACTGACCATGATTAAGATTCTAAAACCGAGCTGTACGCTAGCTGTGGGACACGGCATTGGTAAACATGCAGTAACAACGCAGGGCGGGGGGGGATCCTTCAATCTTAAATCAAAGTACATTATTTCTCCCGATTTTCTTGTAAAAAAATCACTACTACGCACAGCCATCATTTTATTCCAGCGCTGCTGCAGTAGTATATACTGAAATTACTGCCTCAAAGGCCTCTCTCAAAGAAGAAAAGTGTAGGTATTTAATTCCCCTACAAAACTGTAGAACTAGAACAAGCAAGCATTTACTCTGGACAGTTTTCCTTCTGACCTAACACAAGGCAGACAGCGGTGCTGGGTGTGTTCTAGTTCTTACCAACAACGCTCAGCACAGCACTGGCAGAAACGTTGTCCAGAGTTGTGTTGGCCACACACGTGTAGGTCCCACCATCATCATCCCTTACATCAGCCACCACCAAATGGTCCTTGTCCACAGTGAACCTGTGAAGAAAACAGGTTCAGAGCAGCTGAAATGGACACCCGACCATACATGATGGATGTTTGCTTTACTGGCATGAAAGAAACTCTGTGAATTTGAAACAAAGAGAGAGAGAGGACAAACGTTTGCAGCTAGTTAGAGCAGAAATCCAAAAAATATGTCTCACCTTGATCATGACAAAAGCTGGAAGACAATTAGAATGGACTAGAAGCTTGGGTTAGAAGGGATGTCAAGTCATTTCAAGCACGCCCCTGGAAGGTTAGGTGCTTCCCTGAAGACCAGGGGGGCACCCAGAGGTGGGGGGGCAGCTGCAGTCACCCTTACTAGCAGGCTCTCTTGTGGCTTCGGCTGCTAAGGAACATTTGAACACCACTCATTCAGCTCCATTTCTAACAAAGTGTGTATTTTAAAATAATTTATCATTGACTGCAGAAATTTTGTGCCATTTTTGCCGGGTGCATGAACTCTCATGGGAGTAAGTAAATGCAAAGAATAGTATCAACTTTATCATAAGGGGACAGGATGACTTAGATCAGCGAGCACCATGGAGAGTTCTCTAGAGGTTACTAGCTGGCATGAGAAATTACTCAGTAGGTCAAAAATCCATGTAAATAGGATTCATGCATGATTCTAATGAGGATGCATAAATCATTCACTGTCTTTGCAGGGAATTTCCAAGTTAAAGTTTTAGCCACCTTCACTCCACGGTCATTTCTTCCTATTTCCTTCTCATCTTTACCAACTCAGATGCCACAAATAAAACTGGCCAGGTGGGGGGTGCCTGGGTGGCTCCGTCAGTTAAGTGTCTGCCTTCAGCTCAGGTCATGATCCCAGGGTCCTGGGATTGAGCCCCACACCCTACATCCAGCTCCCTGCTCCGCGGGGAGCCTGCTTCTCCCTCTCCCTCTGCTCCCTGCTTGTGCTCTCTCATGCTCTCTCTCAAATAAATAAATAAAATCTTTAAAAAAAAAACAAAACAAAAACCTGGCCAGCTGGAAGCATAAAATTAGATGGAAATTCTGGGTATAGAGGAGAAGGTCACATAGTTGTGTGTGTGTGTGTGTGTGTGTGTGTGTGTGTGTTAGGGGCAGTTAAGCAATAAGACTGCTTAGGCGCAGTTGCAAGCAAACCACAGGGAGCATTTCCACCAACACACGGCATTTCTTCCACTAGGGGGGCAATGTTTGTAGCCTCTGTGACAGTTCAAATTCACTAGGTCAGCTCTATACCTATTCATTCAAATTGAGGCTTCACTCAGAAAATGGGAATGACTTTTCCTCCATTCCAAGCTCAAGGACTGCAATGTGTTTAGGCTATTTTAAATAGTTTACCTGTTTTTTCCCCCTTCTCTTTCTACTGGCCAAAGTGAAATCAAAAGAAAATTCCCTATCTGAATGAAAACTGGTGTCCTTTAAAATAACGACAAGGATTTAGGCGCACTCTGCTGATTAAAGCGATCGCATTTCTGCTTATTTGTAGAATGGTAATGAAAACATCTGTCGAGACTTCACTGTACAAGGTAGAAAATAATGGAAGTCATCCAAGGCCTGAAAGGTTTTTCCCATCCTGAATTACACAGGAGACCAGCACACAAAGACACACAAACATTCTCAGGGTCTGATTTCAATAACTCGATACCTTTTTAGGTCCCCACATTTTGCAGCAGGCAGAAAATGCATTTTTTTTTTTTTGGAGAGACCAGATCTCAGAAACTTTAAAAACACCACTGGTAAGTCACTCTACGATAAACCTTTAATTCAGAGAAGCTCAAAGACGCAGGGAAGAGAAAGGAAACAAATGGTCTTCAAATACCTTCCGTCACTGGGCAGCTCACCGTTGTCCTTCAGCCATGTGATGGTGGGGATTAAGGTGTGATCATGTTTCACTTTGCATTCGAAGGACACGGTGCCCCCTCTTTGCATGACTGCATATTCGGGCTGTTTAATGATCCTTGTTGCATCTGAAATTTAGCTATTGTTATCCATTGCCAAAGCTGAAGAATTTGCTCAAAGTCACATAATACCTGAAAAAACTTCATCACCTCCGCCTTACCTTTGATTTCTAAGTGAACTTCATTCTTTGCCATTCCTAATTTATTCCTTGCAACACATGTATAAGTTCCCGTACTGTCCTTTTGGGCCACAGGAATTTCCAAAGTGCCATTTTCATGCAAAACATAAATATCTTCACGAAGGGCACTACCTTTAGCTCCCTTGAACCTTCATTACAGAAATTATCACAATGGGAATAAAAAAAATCATAATTTGAAGTCAGACATAAAATGCCACATGTGAGGTCAGCACATGATGATGTGCATCATAGTATCAAGTTCGGAGACGTTTGGAATCTGCAAAAGATGTCTTGGATTGCATGCCTGTAAGTCAGCGGGGCCCATGGAAGGCAGGATGTAAAACTGGAAAATTTCATGAGAAGTGGTGCTTTAAGCATTAGGATGACAATACGAAATACTTCAATTGTAATTTTCTGTATCAGATTCATATTTAATACACACATTATTACCTATTCTATCTCCACATGGGTGATAAAACAGGCAACATGATGACGGATCTTTTTGGTCTTTTTCTTCCTCCTGGGATATATTCATAAGTCCATCTGCAGGCTACAATTCTAAAGCCAACTTCAGCAGAAGATACTTGATTTGAATTCTAAAGAGACTTTTTATTTGTATGAGTAGGAAAATACTCAGGGGAGAAAAACAAGAAAGCCTGTATGCAAAGTATATGTCCGTTCAGCTTCCTGATCACCGTCAGACCAAACCCGCGAGCCAAAGTCAACCTAAGCTAAACAACCTAGGCAACCTGAGAGAACTCACCAGGCCACCACCTGCCCAAGCACCGTGCTTCTCCTCTCTGCGGCTACCGTGGAGACCTGGGGAGTCTGTCCTTAATCCTACACCTGGCTTTGGCCTCACATCGGCTGGGGAAGCCCGGCTCTGTGTCTGGTCCCTGATAGACGATCGGTAAACGAATGTTCTAATTTTCTTTCACTCCTTCCTTCTGAGCTGCTGCCCATCCTCGCCTTGAGCCTCCCAGCTCAGGCTAAAGGAAGCAGGCACCTCGGTCCTGAGTGGCATGTAGGGGGGCGGAAATGCTGGTTTGGAGCTTACAGAACCTCTCCCCGACCCCAGAGGATCCTTTATTATCAAGGAGGGTACCCGCAACAGTCCCCACGCACCATTCCTTGCAAAGTCCCAGGTGGTACTCATGGCATTGTAACATATTACTATACCTTAAATTTTCAACCAACCTACTTCCCTACACCTCTGTGCCTGACAAAGTGTGCTGCTGAATAGATTATACATGTGGAAGTATTTAGCACCGAGCAAGTAGTTAATACATCTTTACGAATGAATTTAATAATAGTATGATGGAGTCAGCCCTGTCCTCTGAATAAATAAAAACCCAACACCCAGAGAAATTTGAAGGCTTTAGCAAACGTAAATATTAAAGGCAAACAGAGCCATTACTTACCACTCAATGGTCGGCAGAGGAGACCCAAAGAAGGCACAATCCAGAAGAGCAGGCCTGTCTGCAATGACCTGATAGAGTGTATTTGCAGATGTAAGTATTCGTGGTGGCTCAGCTAAAAAAAAGTTTAAAAAGGTAAAGTAAATATTAAATAAAACAAACATTTAGGCCCACCATACATTTTACTGCATTTGAAGGCCGTTCAAGTTTACAGTAAAGCATAACCACTATGTCTCTCCCCTTATGTTCTCTATCAGGTACGACACCACCAGCATCTCAAGGTGGAGAAATACAAGTTTTCTCCTTCTGCCTCATACCCCACATCTCATCTTGCTCAGGCACGGTATTTTAATGATTTATTTATCTAGATGTCCTACTACCCTGTGAGTCCCTTGCAGGCAGGGAATGGGACTTTTATTGTTTTCTTCCCAGAAACTAGGTCAGTATCTGGTACAAAAATAATGGCCGAGTACATCTTTGTTAAGTGATTGGCCCATGCTAACCCCGGGGTTATGAGGGGGGTGGGGGGGGTAGGAGGGGTGACAGGCACACAGTAGCAGAAAAGCTCAGAGTGTGGACACCTGAAACAGAACCAGAAACTGGCTCCCAAACACCCACCAACACTGCACGTGTGCTCAGCTCTGCGTGTGAGTCATTGGCCTCCATTTCGAGCATGAAGGAAACATGCCAAGGACTGGTTGGCTTCCTGACTTTAATTTCATTTGAAAGGGAGTCTACTACACTTATTGAGTTGAAATATAATTCCCTGGAGCCATGAAAACAAGTCTCACATCCAATTTTAATAAATTTGATGTTTTCGGTAGTTTTGTCCAGTATGAGAAATGGAATGTTCACATAAACCAACCATTTCATGCAGAGGACCTGAATAAACATTTCTCCAAAGAAGACATATAGATGGCCAAGAGACACATGAAAGGGTGCTCAACATCACTCATCATTGGAGAAATGCAAATCAAAACCACATTGAGATATCACTCATGCCTATTAGAATGGCTAAAATCAAGAAGACAAGAAACAACAGGTGTTGGCGAGGATGTAGAGAAAAAGGAACCCTCATGCCCTGTTGGTGGGAATGTAAACTGGTACAGCCACTGCGGAAAACAGTGTGGAGGTTCCTCAAAAAATTAAAAATAGAAATATCATAGGATCCAATAATTCCACTACTGGGTATTTACCCAGGGAAACAAAAACACTAACTCAAAGAGACACCCCTGTGTTTATTGTGGCATTGTTTACAATAGCCAAGATATGGAAGTAACCTAAGTGTCCATCAATAGACAAATGAACAAGGAAAAAATGAACGCACGTGTGTGTGTGTGTATGTGATATTACACAGCCATAAAAAGGATGAGACTGAGCCATTTCAGATAACATGGATGAACCTAGATAGTATTATGACAAGTGAAATTAGTCAGACGAGAAAGACAAAACCCATATGATTCCACTCATATCCGATAAGTGGAATCTAAAAAAAAAAAAATAAACAAAAAGCAGGATCAGAACTTAAATAATGATGGTTGCCAGAGGGGAGGGGTCCAGAGTTGGGCAAAACTGGGGAGGGTATGTGCTATGGTGAGCGCTGTGAATTGTGTAAGACTGTTGAATCACAGACCTGTACCTCTGAAACAAATAATACATTATATGTTAAAA